CGTTGCATAGACCAACACACGTTGCACACGTGTTGCGAAAGAACGCGTGTTAAGAATTCCTGTAAACGTTTCTGAAACCTCATAATCGAGTTATCTGTCAGTCGTGAAGATTTGTGAATGCACTTGTAATCCAAGCTCGAGAAATGAGGATAGTGATCTTTCGTGATCGGTTAATTATTCGCTCGAGAAATATTGCGAACAAGCGGTACGATCTGCGTTTTTCTAAATTTCTATTTTCTACAAACATTCGCGATATCCTTGTTGTGTAAATAAAAAAATTAACGAATGCGATAAATGTTCATTATTTTCATCTTACTGTGATGTGAAAAAAACCGAATATTTACAGGTCGAAATGCTTAACTCAGTGTCACTTGAGTGAAAGATTATACGGACGCAAACAATTTCGCATTCGGCTGTTTTGTGGGTTTTCTTCTTTTAATTAAAAAAAAAAAACAATTAATCGTTAATTAAACACCCGTCCCGTTGCGAGCTTCTCAGTGTAGCGTTGTGCGATGCGGATTTACGCGTCGCACAACAAAGAGACGCGCTATAAATCACGGTGAAAAAAAAAAGAAAAAGGCCGGTTGGACGCGCCGGGGACCTTTGCGTACGGCGACAAGTCATTAGATCATTGTTACGCGGGCACGTCTAACCGATTATCGCGCGGTGTGTGAGGCAAGTGCAATCGCGCGAGTGTAATGACGAGATGACGATCAAGTCAAGGAGAGCGGCTTTCTGTTACGTTGAAGCGCCGCGTCTCGTCGTTTTACGATTTTCATTTCTCCCCGCCTCGTTAATTAAGCTTCCGGACTTGGTCGTGCGCGCAAAATTAGCTCTCACACGGTTGCGGTATTTTCATTTATCGTTTCGCAGGTTTGCATCTCCGAGAGAGATTAGATTAGTCCGTTATTACTCGCAAGTGAATTCGACTCCGTGTATATTCACTTTCTTATTATACATTCGCACGAATTACACGTTGCAGCTCTTCGATACGAGGATGTGAAAAAAAAAAAAAAAAAAAAAAAAAAAAGAACTTTGTGGTATACGCGAGTTACGATTCTTCGTAACTAACCTTTCGTACGTGAGTATCTATTGCGACAATTAAGTCGGTCGCAATAGAAAACGAAGAAGAAATCCGAAGAAGACGATGACGTTATCATCGGGCGGATTACAGCAGTAAAACGCGACGATGTCGTAACGCGAAAGAATTCGTTTTTAGAAATGTTGTTCGTTCGCGTCGGTTCGCAAAATGATCACGTACTTTATCTGTCGCACGCTCTTTCACGGCCGATATTATAACGAGATGAAGTTTCTATTAAAATGATCAAACCACGCGTATCTACTTCATTCGCATTCGTCTTCTCCAACGAAAACAAAAAAAAAAAACAAGTAAAACTGACTTCGCGCGTGTCTTCAGATCCTGTTTGCAGAATCACAACTCTTTCACGACGTTGCAACTTTGCATATTTATGTTCGACTTTGCGAATTCAAAATTGGTAATCGTGGTATGTCGTAATCGTAACGTAGTTTGTGTCGTAGAGTCGTGCGACCTTCGAATGTCGCGGGGAAAAAAAAACGACGTCTGAGCGGCTCCTCATCATCGAGACGAAAATGCGCCGAGAGTTCTCTAGGCGCGAATGTCCCATAAGCACTTTCACCGAGCATGTACTTCCTCGAGAGCATCGCGCTGTTATTCGACACTTATCTCGCCTCGAGGAATTTGACGCGGTCTTATTTTCTCGCGATCCGTTTCGGCGCTACCATCGCGCGCATCCGCTTGATTTCGGGGGGGATCAACTTTGTTTGTCGTTTTTTTCTTATCGTTCGATTACGTCTCTCTATTGATCGATCGAGAGAGAGAGGGATTTTTTGCGACTATTGACACTTTCAACTTTCGTTCGAGTAATTGTGTGCTTTATGAAAACGATAATGAGGTCAGCGAGAGCAAACGCTGGATATACGACAATGTTTGTTTTTGTTTTTTTTTTTTTTGGCGAATCACGTTGTGTAATTCGAATTAAGTTCGCAAATTTCGGATGCTTAGCTTGCGAACATCCTTCTTTTCTTACTTGAAATTAAAAAAAAGATCCCAACGTTCGGCTCTTGCTGATCTTTTATTATTTCTCGGATGCAGTTGAATACTGAGAGAGTCGTAATCTGTGCAATTTATTTGTTAATATGTGCTTTGAAATAAAATATACATATAATTTGTTTTTTTTTTTATAGAAGAGAAATCTTTTGTACAGTAAAAATGAATAAAGAGGATTCACGAAGGCGTGTTGTTTGCCACCTGCTGACGTATAAAAATAGAAACAATAGAGAGAAAACAGGATAAGATTTTTACAGGTCTTCGCTCGAAAGCGAGATTCAATTTGTTTACGTCAATATCCAAGTGCTAAAACTTGCCACCACATAAAATCCTTAAAGCGATATTTTTCGGAAGTAAAGGCCTCCGTCGCGCGCGCCGCGTCCGAAGCGGCGAGATCCCGAGGACATGTGGACGCGTGCTTATCGGGTCCTCGAGAAAGATTTCTCCAGTTTCCGTTGACCCACTGACACTGAATTATCGTCTGTGTGTGAGCGCGCGCCTCGTATATAATTGCAACCTCTTGCAGCACGCAGCGGAAAGCACAGTCGGTCCCGCGCGCGCGCTGTTATGTTAATAATGTATGTAATTAATAATGTTATATCCTCTTTGCGTATATCTTTTTAAGATTCGTATAAATCCTACGAATAGCTTTTAGCGACAATATAATTTATAAGATCTAAAGAACCATTTTAAAAAAATATTGAAAAAAAAACATTTTAAAAAGTTACAAAAAAAACTACGAGACGCGCATAGTAATTTCTCGTTTTTCTCTTTTTCTTTCGTTGCATTTCTTTACAAACCCGAAATTAGAAAAGAGGAAGTCTTAAAACCGGCAATTCGGAAACTCGAAGAAGCGCCTAAACGACGCGGCAACGTGCCGTTTAATTTCGTTTCGCTTGCAGGTGCCCAACACGAGGCACTGCACGTTTATCCACCTACATGTGCTTTGTTGAAAGCGGAGATCGCCAAACCAGCGATTCTCAACCAATCGTGTTCCTACAACAATTTCTCCTCGAGATGCGCTAAAATTACACGCGTACAATTGTTGTTCTTTAAACACGTACGTAATGCACAGGAAGCATTAGGAAAAATAGTGAGACTGAGTTTTTAACACACGACTGAAGATCTCTTCTTTGTGTATTAATTCAACAACAATTTTAATTATTATATACAACGCGTTACTGCACTCTAACTTCTTCAAGGATACGTTAGACACTTTGTTTGTTGCTAAAAGTTTTTGGTTTTTAAAAAACTTCTTTTGGGACCAGAAAATTTATCATTAATAATAATTGCATTCACATTAAATGAAAGTGAAACTATCGAGATAGAGAATCTAGAGAAATTTTGTTACATATTACTGTGTTACAGGTAAAACGAAATATAATATAATGATTTATATATCTTTTTTTTTCTTTTTTTAAGAAGATGCTTTATTCTTTGAGACGCCTGCGATTTTTATTAATTTATACATTTGTGAAATTTTTTAAATACATATATCCACACTGAAAATATATTGACGCCGAGAGCTGTTCGCAGACCTTACACAAATCTTGAGAAGATATATGAAGAGAATGTGGCATGTATACATTATTACAGATCCGAATCGCTATAAATTTTTTTCAAAATATATTACGCGCACATTTGGATTCCACTTATGCGTTTTGTTTGCGCAAAACTTGCATATATTTTTTTATTGTATGTATTTTTTTTTATTTTTCAACGTGTTTTGAGATATTTGTGTGTGATTGATTCGGAATCGCATCAGGAGTGAAGATTAATTTTGTGAGAGATCGTGTGAGTGTGAGTGTGTGTGTGTGTGTGTGTGTGTGTGTGTGTGTGTGTGTGTGTATGTATGCATGTGTGTGTATCACAAGACCGGAATAAATACCGGTCAAAGTGAATTCTCGCGTTCGAGAACGTGGCGAATTCACTCGGCTTCGTTGTTGATCTCTTTTTTTCTCTCTTTTCTCTTAGAGAGAAAGTACATACGGTTACCTGGAAGAATTTGCAATATTGTTGCACGCTAACATCTTCGAAGATACATCAAGACACTTTGATGTTTGCTCATGCTGAAAGTTGCTTTCGTTCTTTAATCGAAAACTTTTTCGTGTGAGAGCAAGAATTTTTCACTAATAACAATCAAAAATAGTTACGTTTTCAATGAAAGCAAATCGAGATGCGCAAATCTAAAGAAATCTAGTTACATATTACAGATAAAGGATGATTTATTATTGTTTCTAAGAAGATGTTTTGATAATTTTGTGAGGAACCTGCGATTTTCATTAATTTTTACACTTGTTAACATTACGTCACACGCGAGACGTCATGGGCAGTAAAAATAATAATTATCTTGGCAAATTACGTCACGCTTTTTGTGCCGCTATACTAGTTCTACTTTTTTTTTTCTCAAATCAACGTCCGTGCAAGCTACGTAACGGTGTAATAACACTTTCGTTTAAACGTGTCTTCTTTCTCTCCGCGATATATTACTAGACGATCATATTGCTTAATTTAATTTAAACTAGAGGCTTGAAATCTCACTTGAACCTGCTAATTTCAATACGAAAAGGAAGGACGCTTTAACTCCAAAGCAAAGAATCATGATGTCTCTTTTAAAATGCGACAATTTTAATATGAAAAGAAAACGAGCGAAGAATCGAGTGGTTTTGTGAGAAAAATGTTTCTGTTTTTTCTTTTTTATTTACTTTCAACATCTACATCTAGTTAACATCTGGTTAGAGTACAGCTAGAAGAAAATGTATGCGAGAAAAATGACGAGAAAGAGAAATAAAGAAGTGTCAAGACCTGTGCGTACATTATACATGCTGCTTATTTGCGTCACGCGGTGACCGTGCCCTCGGGATCCGTTCTTTTGTAAATTGCAACTTTAATAGTGCAATGTTTATTTTAGTTTCAGAAGCAGCCTGCTGGTACTGCTGTGTACACTGATCGTCGTGGTGCCAACGATATTGTCGACAGCAATCAGCCAATTCGATATTTCAGGTGAGCATACCTTTCACCGTGAGGAAAAAGAGGGGAAAAAAAAACGTTGCACTTTGCGATTTAATATATTATGCATTCATCTTCGGAGTCGCGTCGGATGGACGTTTAAACTGACATTATTGCGCGCGGAGACGAACAAATTTATTGATGCGTGTTTTGACGAGGTAAATAAACCTGTGATACGAAATAAAATTTTATTTTTTGTACACACACACACGGTGTGCGTCTAGACACATTTTGCAATATATATTATTGTACATGCAACTTGTTGCCGAGAAATATTTTTAGAACATCGTCACGGTGTTTTTTTTTCGAGTTGTTCAATGGAGAGTGAATATTGTCGAAATACCAATTGTGCAACAAAGGAAGGCAATTGCTACTGAAAAATCTCGGAAAAAGAAACGAAGGACAATAGTGAGACTGCTCTCACACACGTGACGCGTATAAAATCGGCCTGCGCGAGATGGTGAATTAGAATTGTAACGCGGTTACGTTACGAATCCGAAACAAAGGGAATCTCCTCTCGTCCAGGGAGTGTAATCAGCATTGTTCATCCGCGCCATTGTATCAGATGAGTTTTTTTTTTTTTTATTTTTTTTTTACGTTTCACGTATCTTTATTTCGTTTTGTTCGGCGATTTTTACGCGCGTAAAATTACAACACGCGCGACTTCATGAATGTACGGTTTGTATGAATTTGTGGTTTTTTTTAATCCGCAGAGTACATCTACGGGATAGATCATGACTTGCAAGCGAGAGCACGCTCGGCCATCGAGGCGGAGAGATTCGTCTATCGATCGTAAGTTTACTCTTCCTGTTTGCATGTTGAGATTCGCTCGGAGAGAGATCGTTGTCGCTCGGACATAATAAATCTTTCCGAGAAGCGTATTGCCATGAAATTTGTATTTTTTCTCGTATCGCGATCGAATACATCGCAGAAAAGATTGATTGGTTTTACAAAATCTCATTACCGAACGTACAAAACACGTTTCGCGCGCATGCACGAACGTGAACACTTTTACGCGCGTGCGTAATATATATAAATATTCTGTCTATCCACTTTTCCAAAAATGTGTAATTTGCCAATCTACTTTTTTCTCTCTCCCGGATGAAGTTTGCGAAGGTCGCATGCGTGACCTCATCCAATAACAAAAAATAAACAAATTATAACAAAGTCGGAGTCGCGATCCGATCGAAAGAGAAAAAATCCAATTGTAGACGTCAAGGATAAACAGATCTTTTTTTTCTGTCTTTTTCTTCCTTTCTTTCTTCTTCGTCCATACTTAATTAATGTAAAGTTAATGTGCCGATGCACAAAAAAGGAGTTATTTGTCATTCTTAGCCGGATGTCATTTCTCTTTCTCTCTCTCTCTCTCTCTCTCTCTCTCTCTCTCTCTCTCTCTCTCTAATATTGATACGAAACACGTTGAAGGACGACAAAAAAAAAACAAATTAATTTTGTCATCTCGCGATATCAAGTTGGAATTTTTTCAATTTGTTAAATTGTGCGTACTGTCAATTTATATTCTTTGTACACTGAATAAGATTTAAAACAAGAGGTCGTTGAAAAACGTCTATGTATTTCACATCTAATAAAAAAATACACACGTACGATCTATGTTTCGGCTCGCATCTGCTGCGGTACTTTGTTTCTCAACAATTGAGTTGGCTTTTTTTTACACCTGAAATTTCCATAAGGAAGTTAATAATCTGAACGTGATGGAGTGTACACGTTAACGCGCACATGCCGACTTCAAGAATGCACATGTGTTTTATGCGGACCGTGTAAGTGGCCATTTTCACTGAGAAGACGAGAGAAAAAGAAGGTGTATAAATAAATTGAACATATGCAGCGCGGAAGTATGCCAAGTATTTCAGTTTATCTGGCAAATATAGCAAACGGCGTCGAAGCGATGCAAATGACAATAAATGCAAATGACAATGCGACGATACTTTGCGTCACGTATCGAACATACCACAAATAGTATAATATTTGTTCTCACAAACACGTGTCTCATCATCTTTGTCGAAGCACTCGTTGTAAATGTGAAATTCGCGCGATAACAAAATCTCCAACGGATTAGTTCCTGATCCTCGAGAATTTCATGTAAGTTTGCAAGAGTTCGGGACATTCTAAAAATATAAACGCCGATAATTTATGCGCGGCATAAATTATATGACGAGCAATTAATTGATAAAACAAAAAGTTGCCTCATCCGCGAGAAACAATATTCACGGAACTTCACGACCGCGCGAACAATCGGCGCGCCGTGTAAATAAGTTTGCTCATGTCATTTTTATGATTGAATGTTTATCGCCAAGCAATTAGCATAAAGTCATCACACAAATGACTCCCGCGCGCGCACGCGAACTCTGTATCGGCGCGTAACGACATGCGATTGACGCAAAACGCATCGAATATTCCGATTTGTGGTAAAAACAAACAAAGCGTGTGCGTTAATTTCGAATTAATAATTTTGCCGCGTGCGTCATTTGCTCCTCTTGAAGAACAAGTGGACGCGCAAATAAATCTCGCGCGCGCGTGGTGTCGCGCGAGACGAGAGTTTTACGACATTAGCGGGGTGATGAGATGGTGGCGATCACGGTCGCACGTCGGATTGTGTTAGGGCTCATTGCAGTCTCACGTCCGTGTGACCGATCGTCTTCTCGAGGTCGAGGAAAGGAAATACCGCCGGTAATGGTCGAGAAACCTTCCTCGTGACTGAAATGCCAACGTTGACCGACCGCATTGACGACGGCTCCTTTCCTCGACCATGAAAGTAAAAGCTTGCGCGCGAGAAAAGAGAAAAAAAAATGAAGCAGGAAGGGATCGGATCGTTTACTTTCGTACTACTTGTTTTTCGAACGCGGAGAAATTGGTTGTAGAATTTTTTTTCTCTTATATTATCGTGTTTGTATCGATAGGTACATATTGTTTCTACATTGTGAACATTGTTGAAATACCTGACCTTCTTCCGTTTTCCAGGCGAACGAACAGAGCGCAGTCGTCGGAAAATACGCCTTGCAGAATACGATCGGAGAGGCCGTGCCCGCCTACCAAGTACAGAACGCCCTCCGGTGCTTGCAACAACGTGAGGCATCCCGCCTGGGGTGCCAGGGGCTCCCCGTTCTTCAGATTACTGCCGCCAGCGTATTCGGACGGTGAGAAATATACGCTCGCTATAACATTGTTATCTTCAGCACGTTTCCTAGCGTAACGTCGAGCGTTCGTGAATCGTTTGCAAACTATCGTGTATGTGTGTCGCGCAAGAAAATTAATAAATAAGTTGCAAGATAATGAATTAACAACAATTAAATTGATAAATAATCAATAATCCGGAATATGATATTTAGATCCAAATTAAAAAAAAAATGAGTACAAGGAGAGCAATAGGAGTCCTGACAGGTTGATTGTGTGATCCCTCATTTTTCTAAATAATAAAAGGGAATGATAAAAAAATTACTAGCAATAATAAACTTACTAAATAACAATAAAAAATAAAATAATAATAAACACAAATAATAAAACATTTGAACGTTTGAAACTTTCTCTTGCTGTGACGTATATTTTTTTTTGTTTTTTTAATAAACTTTCATACATAGAATTGGCTTGTAAGATATCGTAATATCGTTACCGTCTCGTCGATAGCGCTTCTTACTTTGGTTCTCGAGAATGGAAAGTGAAAATTGGAACGCGCGTGTGCGCTAAACGTTACACACGAGCCTAGATCCATTTCGACGAGGCTCGTTGGCACGGCCGATGCGGAACGTAGTGTCTTCGGTCCCTAGAAAAGGTGGATTAGCATGCGGGAAGGCGCGTGCTTATGTGCGAGCTCGTTGAAATAGAGAGTAGATCTTTTTCTATATACCGGCCACGTGTCGATTGCGACACAGTGGTGATGCGGTGGTGTGCGCGCGCGGCAACATTTATAAAATAACAAAGGATTCCACCTGCGAGATCCGATCGTTTGTAACTAACCGTTACGTGCTCGTGCCGCGTAACTACTGTTTCGCTCTTCTCTGCCTTTTCTCTCATCTTCCCGGAACAAAAAGTTTCTTCTTCGTCGCTCGTAACACGAGAAGCGACGGTTTCGTCGCGCTTCTTCTTTCCCTGATTATTATTTTTTTTTTTTTTTGCAATAAATTATACGTGTTGTATTTTTGTAAAATTTTATGTCAGAATCACATACGTATTTGAAAGAAATCATTTACTACTTTTGTGCGCGTTGCTACTGGAATGAATATCGAAGAATACATTGCGAGGTCAGGATTCACTCGATTGCCGCAATTATCAATTAAATTACAGCATACGCGGAAGTTGTCGGCGTTGGGAGAGAATATCGCGAAACCATTCTAAATTTAATTAGCGGCCTCTCTCCCGGCAACGCTCGGTGTTTTTTCGCTTTAATTGAGAGAAAATCTCAAATTTGCACTCTTGACTTATCCGAACGATGTGATAGTGAACTTTATACACATATATATTAAAAGAGAGAGAGAGAGAGAGAGAGAGAGAGAGAGAGAGAGAGAGAGAGAGAGAGAGAGAGAGAGAAAGGTAGACAGCTGTTGTCTATCTCCGGGAAAAGAATCCAAACGAAAATATGAAAGTGAGAAGAGCGAAGAAAGTGACTCCGGTCTTACGGGCAGTGGTTGCCCGACGACGTCTTTCAACGTCGCTGACCCCAAAATACCTTGACGGTCATTGAAAGTCTTTCTACAAAATTTTTATTGCTCTTTTATGACAGATGCAATCATCCGAAGAAGATTATACACATAAGTTACACATATATATTACAAGCGAGACGAGAAAGAAGTGTACGTATATATGATATAAAACTTAAACAAAAAAAAGGTATAAGTAAAAAAGTTATATGGAGAAATCTTTTAATCTCTCTTTTTTACATATATAAATTACTAATCTGAAATATGTACATCTCTGTAAAACATAAGTGCGAGTTGTTTTTTTTTTTTTTTTGCAAACAAGGCCATTAAAATTGTTCGAGTCTTTGTTCGCGGATCTTTATTTTTCATCGTTAGAGACGAATCGCGCGCCGACGAGAAAGGTGGACGCAAGAGAAAAAAAAATAATTATCTATCGCGATAAGCGCTTTGTCGTTTACTACATTGTCGTCATCAATTGTCCATGAACGAAACGCGCGCGTCACAAATGAAAAAGCTCGGCGTTTGGAGTGTGTAGGACGAACCACCGTCGCTGTGTAACACTTTACTTGTGTGGTCATTAAAGAGCGCGACGCCTGTGCGTAACCATGACACAGAATTTTGACACACATCGCGCCGTTTTCGCGAGAGACCCCATGAAGGCACACGGCCGTGCCTTCTTCTTTGTCGCCCGATCGCCGGTAGCACGTGACTCATCGCACGCGTGCGTCGTCCGCAAACGAGAGATGAAACACCACAAGTAATTTTCTCAATCTCGCGATTTTACTCAATCAATTAGCGAATAAAAAAAAAATCGATCCCCCGTGATCATTTTTTTTTATTTAGTTCGACGTGTGTGTTAACGTCAGTCATTGCGACGTACGCGAAGTAATGCGGTTTGAATGACGATGACAATTTTATTACGTACATGAAATGAGTTGCAGATAGAAATTGTTTGTAGTTTGCAAGTTTCGAGTATATATAGTTTTTTTTTTTTTTTTTTTTTTAAATAAAATACGCTATACACAATATAGATTTTTAATCAGTTTTTATCGACTTATGCGCGATAATCAATTGATAAAAGAAAACTTTCGAAATTGTATAAATAATAAATTTGTTTCTTAACACGCACGTTAGCGACTTTTATCTTTAACCTAAGAAAAAAGTGTTTGGATATTAACAAAGATGTTTAACATTTATTTTTATGTAAGAAATACAAAACAGAATATTAATTAATATTGATTTACTGAAAAAAAAAAATTACAAGTCACTTGCGTGATATCACAAAATTATTTTGATACCTTCTGACGTGCGTTCATTTTTTTCATCTGACCATATTAGGCATCTCGAGACCACGTCAATCGGTGGGTAGCCACAGACTACCCACGTCGACCGATGTCGTCTCCAGCGTTTTGACCTTCTCCCGGAAAGTGGGAAGTCACGAAGGATTGACCAGTTTGTCAGGTATTTGGTCGGAACTCGTGCTGCAAGATATCGCCGCCACGGTGCACTCGACAGGTGACGAGAATCAATGTTGTTCGGACGAGCGAAATCGACATCCGGAATGCTACGAGATGAGAGTCGAGAAACTCGACTGCGAGCGTTATTGGCGATCGGTGCCAAGCTTGAGTGTGTACGACTGTCAGTTCGAGACGAGGGAGCAGATGAACGGCGTTTCCGCGTATCTGGACGGTTCCGGCATCTACGGCGCCACCGACGATAAGCTGCATCTGCTGAGAACGTACGAGGACGGCAAGGTCGACCTGAACGCCTGCGAGTTGTGCAATCGGTCCGATCAAGACGCTCTCGGTCTGCTGCACCGAGTTCTTTTGAGCGAGCATAATCGCGTGGCGGAGAAATTGGCGGCAGCGAACGTACACTGGGACGATACGAAGCTCTTCCTGGAGACGCGTCGCATCGTTGTCGCGCAGCTGCAACACATCACTTTCAACGAGTACATGCCGGCGATATTGAGAGAAGCCGCGTTTGTCGATCCCGAACTGAGACCGCTCTCAAACGGCTTCTACACCGGCTACTCGTCGTCCAACCGGGTGGGAACGTACCACGCGGTGGCTTTCGCGGCCTTGCGCGCTCTCGCGTGGATGCGCGCCGACAAGAATTACAACATCGAGGATCATCTAACCGCATCAGCCAATCTCGTGGGTCTCGCGGCCGCGCCGGATGCGGCCGCTTGGTCCGTACATGTGGCGCGCGATCACGGAGTACCCGGATACGTCAAGTTTCTGACCGAATGTTTGGGAGAGGACGTCAAAGTGAGTTCGAAATATTATTTTTCGTTATACAAGGTTTACAAAATTTGAATTATTTTATCGTGTTGATTAATTCTGATTTTATTATTTGTCTTTTTAATCTTCGGTTTTTTTTTTATCATTTATTGGTCTTTTAAATCTTTTTTGTTTTGTGACTTTATCGGCACAACATAAAACAAACAACAATTGTTATTTATTTTCGCATTCGTTTCTTGCTGTACAGATAGAAAATTTTACAAATCTGGAGCGAGTGATGGCACCCGAGTCCGCGCACTTGCTGAGCACGATTTACACGAACGTGGAGGACGTGGATCTTCTCGTGGGTGGGATTCTGGAGACTCCGGTTACGGGAGCCGCGGTCGGTCCAACGTTCGAATGCATCCTCAAGAAGCAGTTCACGACGATAAGAAATTCCGACCGTTTCTGGTACGAGAATGACATCCCGCCGTCGGGATTGACGGCGACGCAGCTAACCGAAATCAGAAAGGTGTCCCTCGCCGGGATTTTGTGCGCCAACACGAACATCCGCAAGATTCAGCCGAGAGTGTTCATTCGACAAGATCCGTACTTAAACAGCAAGATTTATTGCGAACAGTACGAATCGTTGGACGTCGCGGCGTGGACCGAGGAACCGTTGCCGCTTCCGTTGATGGAGTACAACTCGGTGAGCACGAGCACGCGCGAGCCGACGGCGCGTCGACTTACACCGGAAATCAGTCCGGAAATAATTGCCGCAGCTATAAAACGAGCGGAGGAGGAACTGATCGAGCGAAAGCAGCTCGAGTACAACGCGTGGTTGGAGCAGAAAATCGCTGATCCGAAATCGCCAGCCGGAACCGCGGCCAGCTTCTCCAAGGCCAACAAGGACGCCTTGTTGCTCGCGAACTCGTCCATCATGTACGAATTGGCTACGAACGAAATTCTTAACAGCATACACAGTCTCCGACGTAGGAAACGCCAGGTCTTCGAGAACACGGAGAACGTTTTGGGTTTCCCCAACGCCAACGAATTCACCGATCTGCTGCAGAACGTCGACGTCTCCGGCTTTCTGAATCATCATCACAAGCCGACGAATCACGAGGAAGTCCAGTGTCCCGTGGACGATTCCCCGTGCGATCCCACAACACCTTACCGGACTTTATCGGGTCACTGCAATAATCTGCGCAATCCCAGCCTCGGCAGATCGCTGACCACCTTCGCTCGTTTGCTACCGCCCGCTTACGAGGACGGCGTTTCCAAGCCGAGATCGACTTCCGTTACCGGTGCATCGCTGCCGAATCCTCGAGTAATCTCGACGGTGATCCATCCGGACATCTCGAACTTGCACAATCGCTACACACTTATGGTGATGCAGTTCGCGCAGTTCCTGGATCACGACTTGACAATGACGCCCATACACAAAGGCTTCGCGGAATCGATCCCAAGCTGTCGATCTTGCGACTCGCCGCGAACCGTACATCCCGAGTGCAATCCGTTCCCCGTGCCGCCGGGTGATCATTTTTATCCGACTGTGAACGTCACGTCCGGCGCTCGTATGTGTTTCCCGTCGATGAGGTCGTTGCCGGGTCAGCAACACTTGGGCCCGCGCGAACAAGTGAATCAGAACACCGCTTTTCTGGACGGATCGGTGGTTTACGGCGAGAACTCGTGCATCTGCAATATTTTGCGCGGTTTCAACGGTCGCATGAACATCACGGAACATCCGCGTCGCGGCAAGGATCTACTGCCGCAATCCCCGACACACCCGGAATGCAAAGCTCGATCGGGATACTGCTTCATTGGCGGTGACGGCCGCGCTTCCGAGCAACCGGCGCTAACGGTCATGCACACCTTGTGGGTGCGTGAACACAATCGCGTAATGGATGGCTTGCACCAGGTACGTACAAAATTGTTTTTCTTTGTGAAGATTTTTTCGGTGGGAAATGGCGATAAAAGGGCAAAAAACAACGCTTGTATAGAAATTGTTTATGTATTTGTACTAAGTTTAGTTTATATAATATTGTACAAATTTAACGAATTTTATGCATATAATATAAATCGTCTGCAAAATATACTGTTTTTATCAAATTACTAAATATTGCTCGTTGAGCATAACACGCGTTTTTCTTTTTGTTTATATTATAATATTACTTTTTTGAACAGGTGAGTCCCCACTGGGACGGCGAGAAGTTGTTCCAGGAGGGTAGGCGTATTTTAAGCGGCATGCTTCAGCATATCACGTATAACGAGTTTCTGCCGAGAATTCTCGGATGGAACGCTGTCAGTCTCTACGGTCTCAAGTTGTTACCCCAAGGTTATTACAAAGAATACTCGCCCACCTGCAACCCCAGTGTGCTCAACGAATTCGCCGCCGCGGCCTATCGAATCGGACACTCGTTGCTGCGACCGCACATACCACGAATGGATCCCACTTATCAGAATATCGACCCGCCTATTCTGTTGCGTGACGGCTTCTTCAATCCGGACATGCTACTTCAGGACAATATGATCGACGAGATAGTACGCGGTTTGATGGCCACGCCGATGGAAACGTTGGATCAATTCATCACTGGCGAGGTGACCAATCATCTGTTCGAGCAACACGGTATACCGCATTCCGGTGTGGATCTGATAGCTTTGAATATTCAGCGGGCTCGCGATCATGGATTGCCGTCGTACAATCATTATCGAGCGCTCTGTAATCTGAAGAGAGCCACCACGTTCGAGGATCTGTCCAGAGAAATGGCACCGGAGGTCATAGCTCGTATGAAGCGTATATACGCATCCGTGGACGATATCGATCTGTTCCCGGGGGGTATGAGCGAAAGACCGCTTCAGGGTGGTTTGGTCGGACCTACTTTTGCCTGTATTATTGCCATTCAGTTCAGACAATTGAGAAAATGTGATCGTTTCTGGTACGAGACCGACGATCCGAACATCCGATTTACCGAGCATCAACTGGCAGAAGTTCGCAAAACCACTCTCGCCAAGGTGATGTGCGAGAACATGGATCATCAGACGGATATGCAGAGAGCAGCTTTCGATCTACCCAGTAATTTTCTGAATCCGCGCGTACCGTGCACGTCCATGCCCCACATGGATTTCTCCGCCTGGCGGGAGACCAGACACGGCTGTCAAATTGGCGGTAGAAACGTCGCTGTCGGCGAGTCCGGTTTTCCTACGCCTTGCACCAGCTGCGTTTGCACCGCCGAAGGCGTAAGTACATTCTTCGCGTTATATAGACGTTTACGCAGATATAATTGAAAGTTTGATACGTCGTTGACGCGCGAACATGTCTGTTATGTTCGGATCAACAGAACACGATAAAAAATAAAACAAAACACAACAGATCTCAAAAAACAACAAATTAATATTTTTCTTTCAGACGCAATGTGCCTCTCTGAGAGTCACGGACTGCAATCAACTTTTACGAGAAGCTTCTCGAGAAGCGATACTGCGCGATGACGTGTGCACCGCTCAATGTGGTTTTGTTCTGGCGGCGGCGGAATCTACCACGCGGGCGCAACAGTTTACCACGCCGAGCTCGAGCGGTTTTCCCGGTTTCCCATCTCGTCCAAACGGTCTCAGAAATTCGCCAACGCCGACTTCCTTCAACGGCTTCAAACTGCCCGATCTCTCGCAGTTTATCGGCTGAATTGGAAGAGACGAACACGTACGCGAAGGCTTTCAAGTAACTTAGAAACTCGTTATACATATGATTAGTTATATTTTACGCAGGAAAACACTGCCTTTATTTTGAGAGACTGCATAACAAACGCGATTCCAAAATTGTATAAGTGGTTAATCGTGCTCAATACTATAAAAAAAAAAAAAAAAAAAAAAATATCGAGGTCGAGAAAGAGAATGGAGCAAGAAAGAGACAAGGAGCATGTCTTGAACGCGCGGAAGACATTTGTAAAGAAGATAAATGCGAAATAGTACCTGTTGGCGTGTAAATATAGATGCTAAGATGCAAGTGTTTTAGTTCATCAGAAGAAGACCGAGATTGCATCGTCGAAAAACAAAGAGAACGAAAAGACACACACGAACGCACGAGATACGGAACTTCTTCGAGGGAATAAAAAATGATGTTGCAGCACGCGAACGTAGTAGTAGAATTAAACTTAGAACGAGTAAACCCCGGAATAAAAAAAAAAAAAAAAAAAAAAGTCCCATTTCTGTGGCGATACAATGGCGTCATGAAAAATAGGTTCGAAAACGTGAATGTGATATTAGAAAAAATGCACGAGAGATGATGTACGTCATGTGTGTTGCCATATCATCATTCGACAATTGTTTGCCGAAAGCAAGAAATGTAAAAATGCGGCGTTCGTTCTTGAACTTCTGTCTTTCTTTCTCTCGTTACATGTCTGTCTAATTTTTTTTGTATTATAATAATTTGACATGTATAATATTAATAAATGTTACTTCCCTTTTTCCTTCGTCGTTTTGCCTGATGATATATATTTTAAACAAACGATCGTTCACGCTTCCACGGACATTGGAGTCTGGTCCTTTCGCTTGCCTCGCCAGCTCCTGGCGAGTGGAGGTAAATGTGCGACCGCTTTCTAACATCTCTACTATTTACAAGGAATTCCGGCAGCAAACAATTAACGGTAAAAAAAAAAAAAAAAAAAAAACATTCCATCCACAGGAAGATTCAACCACTCACTCTCAAGTTTGGTTTAAGTGTCTGTTTTTGGAATTTTTAAGAGTCCGTCCGCGATCTTCTTGCTTTTCTCTGCTGTTTAACTGGCAGGAACTTCTTGTTTATTATTAACTACGGCAGCATTTTCTTGTAAAGCAGGCGTCTGTTCGACGCAACGCCACAATCCGTAAGTTTTGCCGACTACGGTTTGCCACAATCTCAAGGTACCATCTTCGGATCCGCTAGCGTACAATTCGCCGTCCGGCGAGAAGCGCACACAGTGCACAGGCCCAAAGTGTCCTTTGAACGACTCTACGCAAATTTTACATACAATTTAAGAGATTACGCCCCTGTGTGATATAAAATAAATATATATTCATCAGTTATAAAAGACACGAGAAATCCAACCTAGTTCCGCTCCTGTGTTGTAGTCAAACTTGTACATTTTGAGATCTTCTCCGCCACATACGAACATTGTACAATCCGGGTGTAAGCTGGCACTGTTAACTTGAGTGGGGACTGTGAATTCTTTTATCTTGGTTAATCTGATGACAAAACAACAACCTCTACTGTAACCATGTTTCAATACTGTGATTTTTATAATAAAAAGAACGATAAAAAAAAGAGATGTACGTACTCTTTACTATTCCAAAAAGTAACAATATTCGAATGAGTTGTAATGATGATGTTCCCATCTTTGGACACTTCCATGGAACTTGGTATGGCGGGAAAATCTAGCCTCTTGACCTCTTGCCCGCTATTCCTGTCCCATACTCTCAGTGTCTTATCGTCCGCGCACGTGATTAAAGCAGAGTTGTTGTCAAAGAAGGTGATGTGTCTAATACCACTGGTGTGACCTGAAAAGATCTGAGAAAGAAATAAAAATTATTTTATTGTCCCACATGTATCTTCAATGCCAATAAAATTTGGCATTACAAAATTATTACCGGATTGTGTAATCTTACCTGTGGAGCTGTCTCTGGCTTATTAAGATCGTATATGCGCACAATCTTCTCGTTCGATCCGGTACACAGATAATTGGAATCTGTACTGAAGTTAACGGATTTTACTATGTGATTGTGCTGGAAAGAATGTATTTCCTCTCCTTTGATGGCATCCCAGACTTTGGCATTGAAATCCGCCGCCCCACTTGCGGCTCGAGTAGCTTCCGGATTTAATGCTACACCCCATACCGCTCCTTTGTGTCCTTCAAATGTACCAATCCAGTCTCCAGTATCACCTTGTCGCAACATGGGCTTGCCATCTGGAAACATTGTTCCAGACTGAGATCTGTCCGTCTTTACATTCAAATTTTATTCACAGTTAGCAATTCATTTTTATAATATCTAAGAAAAAACATTAAATTTATTTGTTTACAAATTTTCTAATTTATATATTTTATATTCTTATCACATATTTGTGTACACAACTCTCTCCTTATCTCTCTCTCTCTGACAAAAACATTTCACACAATATCTGAAGAAATATATTCACTTTCTCAAGTGCAAAAGTGTACGAAAACATTTTGCAAGATAATTGCGTTGTCATTTTTTCTTTTTGTTCGCGAAACATGTACATCACGAGAGTTACCTTCGCGTTGATCGTGCGAACGGGACAGGAAGAGATCGCGCGTTCCGTCAAGAACATGCGGCGTCTAACCTCGAAGTCGTCGGAGCCTTGGGCGTTCGTGAAAAATTGGGCCAAGGTGATCGAGAATCGAACGTGCGATCGAACACAATCAAAAAAAGGGAAGAGAAAAAAATCACGAGGATATAATAGTCGGCCGCGCGATCTCTCCTGTATCTGAGATTTAAAGCGCATTTAATTCACCTTTGCACGCTGAGATTAAATAGTATCCGGACTCGGTGACGTTGGAGAAGGCGAGATGAACCACGGGTCTCGTGTGTCCGCTGCACGTCAGCGGTGTTTGTCGCAGACTGGCCATCGTGTTGCGGCGATTCCGTCGTGTTCTTCTTCTGAGAGAGATTTAGCTCCACGACGCAACCGAAATAAGACAAATATTACTACGTTTCACGTTTGTGTCCGGATCTTCTTCCGCGTGTGTCGCAGATAACACGCTCGATCACATTCAACGAACAATCACGGAGAATACGCGACGCTCGACTGACGGAACGACGGCTTTGGGCCGACCGACGGCAGGTGGTGACGGTCACGGCGTGGCGATCGCCGCGTACTAGCAGTCAAGTTCAGAGCGTTCGAGCCACTGGAGAAACATGGAAGCTAGGAAGAGCGTCGCGTCTTCGTTTTTTTTTTTTTTTTAATTTCTTTTCATCCTGTTATCAGCGGTCTATGTATTCGTTTCAATGCTCTTCGTGCTGAAAAAAAAAGGTTCAGACTTCTTTTCGCAAATTATATTATAAATAATAGAAATAATTAGTCAATGAAGAGTAACATGTAAAAGAGACGCGCGCATGATCGTCGTACTTTTGCAGAAAATATCTAGAATGTTCCGAATCGAGATTAGATATTCGTTGAAAGAGAAACAAAATAACAGCAGGTATGTAACTCGAAATTATATCGCATCGCGTGTAATCCGCAGTAATTGCGTATTTTGATGCTCAAGACTCGAGCGTTTTGCAGCGCGTTTTTGTGTTTTTAATCGAAAACAATCGAGAGTTATCTTTATAAAGAGAATCGATCAAACCACAAATTAATAAATTAAACAACATCAGACTCGAAAATTTTTTCCGGTGTCTCTAATTTTTCTCTTTTTCCTGTTTTTTTGTTTACCACTACATAATTTTTTTTTTATTATTGCTATAATTCTTTCTTGCGTCGCACTGTCAAAACATCTTCTGTCATTATAGTTTCTAGACACAATTTTTTTTTAATCGCGACCATGAATTCAAACAGTTCTCCCTCTCTTCCGCTTCTATGTAACCTTTAAAAGCACATACGTATCATAGAAACGTGTGTTTTTGCAACGTGCATTGCTTTTCAATCAGTCAATGTTTCAAGGATAAAATATTCCAAGAAAGTTTGAATGTGTACATCTAACACACAAACTAAAAGTTCTAGAATAATCACCTAATGTAAATTTACAATTTTTATTTTGCACAGACAAATGTCCTGTAATAATTGTTGAAAATTTTATAAGATTTTGTAAAGCAAATAACATGCGTTACTACAATGTTATTTTTATTAAACAGTGTTATTTTTTATCAACGATATAAACTTTATAAATTAAAATATTATGATAATTATGCAAAAAACTTTTTTTAAATCACAGTGGAAGATAGGCAGAAAAAGTACAACACAAATCACTTTAAACATATGCAAAATTTAAGATTATTGTATAACATGTGTAATTTGTAAAACTAATATTAATACTTTTATATTTATGTATAAAAAACCACGTAAAATGTATAAAATATTGCACGTTACATGTATGTTGTATGTCATTCGGTCTACTTTTAGTTGTTAACGAGAGTCACCGGTACGAGCCGAAATAGCTCAGTTGGGAGAGCGTTAGACTGAAGATCTAAATGTCCCCGGTTCAATCCCGGGTTTCGGCAAGTGATATTTTTTTTATTCAAAATATCAAATATCGATGAAGCAAGGATGATAAATAATAATTTTAATATTAAAATAATTATTTTCGTAAAAATAAACTTTGTTTTTTTTTTTTATTTTATATATTTTATTTTTTCCGTGCTTTCCATTCTCGTTCGAAACATGTTTCTTTTTTCTAAAAAAATAATTTTTAATACACATGTCAATTTATTAAAATCAACTTTTATGTATTTAAAAAAATAGGATGCTTTATTTAAAAAGTATGAGAAAATTTAAAAAAATTGTAATACATCGTCTCACACAGCCTCAATAGGACTCAAGTTTAACAAAACTAACGTCTAGACATTAGGTTTATGTCGTTCAGTTTTAATTGTTCAGAAACGTCTCTTGCTAATACATAAATTACGAATCTATTGTTTCGGACACATCAGGTGCAGTCAGATGGAAGGTTGAGAGGAGAAGCAAACTCGTCGGCGACGAGTCGTGCGCACCGCGAGGCGTCGTTTGCGCACGCGATTGGCCGAGGTGCGACGGCCTTCGCACACGACGAGCACAACTGCACACCTGCGAGCGAGGCTCGTCGTGGCGGCGATTGGCCACCCTTAGTCGAGCCTTGACGTTTACGGCGTGAGGATGTGGACTGATAGCTGCGCTGGCAGCCGTTTATACACGTAGGACCAAAAAGTCTCGGGTAAGCTACCCTCCGCGACGGGGGTCGTCGCGCGCTGTCAAAACACTCGCGAAATTTTCTATCTTACACACATGACGCGCGAGCGCGTGTAATTGTAATTTTTTATCGCGTTAAAACGTTTCGTTCGTAGAGAAATAATAAAGCGCGTGTTCCCCCTAACAGCCTCCCTCAACAGTTACAGTGAGCCGCATCGTTCACGTGCGTCTCTTTCCCAATCGTCGCCCGATTGACCGGCGCTTGAAAACGATGACGCTCCCGCGGATGCTGCTCGTCGTTGCTTATCTGCTGCGCTGTCACGTCGCCCGCTCGATAGGCGGTGAGTAACTGTACGAAATATATATATGTATATATATGTATTTTATCCGGGAAAACGGATGCAAATACTAATACGACATTTTTGTCGCCTCAAGTGCTCAGGTCTCTTGTTTTCTAATTGTTTTTGAATGTAAAAATATCTGAGATAGAATAATTTCTTCTGAAGTTGCGGAACATTTTTTATTTGTTCTTCTGTGAGATATATTTACTTCTATAATAATTATATAATAATTTATATAGTGATGTTAAATATATTTAATATATCAGAAGAAGAAAGTAGTAATTTTTGAAAATGAAAGTTTCTAAGAAATATATATAAATTGTTTTTTGAAATAATTTTTTAATATATATATATATATATATATATAATAAATATTTATATAATATTTTGACATATACATTATTGACGCGTTGTTAACTATGTTAGTAACATTAGATTGTACATAAGATTATTTATTTATATATTAATTATTATTGAAATAATGTACATATATTTATATTTTATTTACTCGTGAGTACATAACAAGTATCGTATATCATTGCAGATATTTATATATTATTTATATATTATTATTGTGTACATGTAACTAAACTGCGCTAGTTATTCAATATTAACATGCAATTATTGATATTATTTATATAGCAATATTTTAATACATTCTGTGCATGATATTTCAACTTCAAAGAGATTTGAAGCAAAAGAGATACACAATAAAGGAGATAATCAACATACTTTGATATCGTAATATTGTTAATATTATTAACGTCGCGATTTGTGAAAATAATCAGCAAATTTTGATGTGGATTATACGACAATCGGTGGTCGCTGCATGTTGTAGATAAGGCGCTTAGTCCCGCTTAGCTAGTGCATTTACAGGTGCGTTTTCAGTAATCGTGACACGTAAATCTGCTTGTGAGTTTGCACAACAGGAAGAGAGCGTATCTGAAACATGAAAATGTTTCAGCCGAGTACGATCTTTACTCTGTCATTCGACTGAGAAAGAGCGAAATTGTTTTTTGTTTTTTTTTGTTTTTTTTTTATTTTATCGGAAGATAGATTATTGCTATACGTATCGTATGAGTAAAGCGCGGAAATATAGAAACGTTATATGCGAGCTTTTATTTCAAATAACATATAAACAATTCCGAAGGACAGGATAGAAAACTCGAGTACGGAACAATAGATTAAACAAAAGGAGACGCGCGAGAGTTTTTCATATCTTCATGTAACACATGATTACTATCGCGTTAAATTACATTACGAGAATACGCAAAGAGAAGAAAATTAATAATTTAAGTCACGTTTTACATTATGTCTGTTTTTATTTAAATACAAGAACACGCTGTGCGGTTTTGTGCGCATCACCGTGTTGTGTACACACACGCATACGTACGCACGTACACACGCGGTACTTACAATCAGGTCAATTAACATGACATTGTGCAAATTGTTTAACGAATATTACAAAAAAATTGCGCAAGTAGCCCTTTTTTCGCCTTTTTTTAACGATCTATCTATCTCTCTCTCTCTCTCTCTCGCTCTCTCGATAACGGGATGGTCATTCGAGGATTTCTTTTGAAATCGTGAACAATGGCTCTTCGTTAACAACGTGTCTGCTAAAAGCATCATTAATTCATCGAATCAACTGCGTTGTTCCACTCTTCTTCTTTTTTCTCTCTGTTCTTCTTCCCCCTCTTGTCCTCTCGCTTCAGAATACAAATTAATCGCGAGATAACATAGCCTGCGCGATTACAACGTATTAAGTTTAACACAATTATTGTATTATAATATATAGTTAATCTCTCTCTCTCTCTCGCTTGTGTCATTAATACTAGATCGATACTAGACCCTAGCAACTGCAAATTATTGCACGACACTTTTCGCGCAAAAACGAGGTTAAAGTGTCCTTTACTATTGACCTGTTTGCAATACCAAAAGCAGACGAAAAAAAGAAGATTGTTGCGATAAAATAAAAATCTTCAAAAATAGAAATATTGAAAGAACAATCGAGATAAAATCTGCGTCATCGATACTTTGCAATTACCAGGTGTATTGTTTGATTTTCGAAAGTAATAATTAATTAATCAAGTTACAACAACGCGTGAGACGCAAATTTAAAGAACAATTTCATTTTTCTGACATTTCGTTCGATTCAACAACGTTCGCGATTTTACGGTCATTTGCTTTGCAATACATTAATTGCAAGTAAAAAAAAACAAAAAAAACAAAAAGAATTCTCAATGCGTTTTCAGGATTCACGTTGAATGATAAAAACCTTATCTCGAGCGCGTGAAAAGAAATTTCGTGCGATTTCCCGCTTCCCGCCTCTCTGACGTTATAATCCCATATGGCGGCGCAGTGACTGATTCAAAGTCTTATCAGCGTGAAAGTATGTGTCTCGAAGTTGAATCGAGGGAAAAAGAAAAAAAACGAAGAAAAAGAACATTTCGAGACCTGCACTTTTATATCCCCGACCATGATTTGTCAGTGCTGCTGCACGAGATGCGGCAGGGCTGTAGCGAACTCTTATCTATGGATTCTCTTCTTGGTCGATTTAAATCCAATTTCTTTTTTTTTTGTCCAATGACAAGAAAGTCTTTTCCGGAAAAAATAACTTCGCAAATTGAGAAAATAAAGGAAAGATAAACCGATAGAAAAAAAAAACAGTGTGAATTTTGCGAGAGCGAGAGAACGCGTTGCGCGCGCGTTTTTTTAATCAAATCGCGCCTTTTATTGAATTTAAAAAAAAAAAAAAAAAAAAACAAACTTTTAATAGATACGTAACTCGAGAAATAATTAAAAACAATATTAAATTAACACTGAAAAATGAAAAACTTTTGCTACGCAACTAATGATTTTTTTTTCAAGCGCGCAAGTGTGCGATCGCACAGTACAAGTTTATTTATAAGTACACATTTGTCCAAAAGATGATGCGCGGGACGAAATACATGTCAATTCGCGTTGTTTGCCATATATGCATCTCGTATGCACAAGCAGCTTGTGCGTAATATTCCGCCGTATACACACACACACGGACGACGATTTCGGAGCACGAGAAGGCATCTGGCGTTTCGGCAAAACCATTTTCGCTTTCGAGCCGTAAGATAACATATAAGCTTCGTGGCGGAAATATCTTCGGGCGAGGTATATAGGGGCGCGAAGATATAAATCCTACGCCCTTCAGAAGATACAGTTCGCCGAGGATAAACGGTGCGGTGTAAGGATAATTTAATGGCCGTGAAGGCGACGGACCGAGAGTAAGTTATCCCCGCGGTCGATTGTACAATCCATGCGAGACGACGAAAGGGAGAGGGGAGACGAGAGACAGGGAAAAACGGACGTACATATATCTGTGTGTGTGTGTGTGTGTACACATACACACAGCTCGTGGCAGTAAAACGCGCCGTATAATTTTTGCCATTTCTTTCGTGCGTTTTTCAAGGTTGCACCGCACACATCGATCGACGGATTGCACATTCACGCGCGCGCGAAATGGAGTAATCAGCGCGAAAAGCAAAAATTCAGAGGTAAATCCCCTCTCGCGCGTGTACATGTGGAGTCCGAGAGATTCGCGAAGAGAGATAATCGCCTCGACTCTTTCCGCGTTTAAAGCGTTTCTCTCCGCGTCGTCGTGAGAGAAACTGTTTTTTTTTTTTTGGCGAGCTTTCCCTACTGCAACGCGACCGAACGTGCATAAACGCGTTGCATAAATGCGAAACAATACAAGTACGAGAGAGTGTAATCGCCGAAACACTTTTCGCTTTATTTGAAAATAGTCGTGGTGCTACATTTACAAGTCGATGGGAAATAGAAATATATATGCGATAGGCATTTATTTGTGAGCATTTTTTTGTTTTAAATATTTACGGTGTATATCATGTTTTTTGTTGACACATTTTTCTACACACAGTAGCGGAGACGAATTTTTTATTTTTTTTTATTTTTACATACCGATTTTCACATCTCCCGGATCCGTATTTCGAACATCGATCGCGCACTCGCACACTTAATTCATACATACGTACGTGAGTCCGCACATAATCAGATCGGATATTTTAAATAAATATTGAAATAATCGGGCAAACGATAAGAGCAAATATGGAATATTGATACACACACGCAACAACTGTATTACAACAATTACACCGCGGCTGAAACAATGATGTGACAGAATAATTGATATAGATGATAATCGCACGTGTGTTGCCGGGCTTGTTATCCGGCATCATCGGCGCTCATATCCGTGTATGTATGTGTGTGTGTGTGTGTATCTGTGCAAAACTGCGCGCATTATACTCGCGAGCGGTGCGAAACGAGCGATACGTGTCGTAAATGCGAACGACGACGAGCAACGCGCGGCTCTGGGAATTTAATTAAGTCGCGCGGCGAAACAGATTTGCGTAATCGCCTTGTCCGCGCGAAAGAGTCCGCGCGCGCGTTGGAAGTGACGAGACCGCGGCGCGGTGTCGGGTTTAAGGATACTCGTTTTAATTTGATGTCGTTATTCATACCGTTTCATTTCCATATTTCATGTCGCGGCAAAATGGACGCCCGACGCTTTATATTATAAATTGGCGAGCAGCGCGAGCGCGGTGAGCATATATACTCAAATTTCAGAGAGTTCCGTCACCGCTTGGGTTTTCGCGTAATGTTACACACGCTCGTCCGCTCGACGGGCCGTGAATTTGACGGTTGGTAATATATTTTAATGCAACTTTGCACATACGCGCGTATGTATATTTGTTCCTCGCGCGCGCGCGCGCGCGCGTATGTGTGTGTGTGTGTGTATGTATGAGAACACACGAGCGATATTAACCACTTTTCTCCGCCACCAGCTGTGCATATACGCGGCGGGACCCGCCTATCGAAAACACGCGCCGCGATGATTATATGATATTTCGGTCAGTGGTTAAACAATGTGAAAGAGCAGTTTATATATACAGCAATATCACATTGTTCTTGCTATAGACAAAGCATTGCGTTTAATTCGTCATAAACTT